CACCAAAATAGGCAGATGAACGAAAATAAAAATGCGGGCAAAAGCATATACAGCCTAAAGGAGAACGATGCTGGATATGAACATAACTAAAATAATGCTGAATGAACGAAAACACCATCAGGAGAACAACTTAGAAACAACTGCTGCACCGCGTAAAAATAAGATGTAATAAAAATTCGATATAAACTTGGAGGGACCAATCGAATGGTATATAACAGTCCTATTTCAGGCAAAGTTGGAGGACCATTAGAGAATCGCCGGAAAATGTACCCTTTTAGGTGTTCTCATACTTGTTTTGACACCATGCACATTTTTATAGCCTGTTAGCTCAGTCAGAAGATTGCGTGATTACGGGTTCAAATTTGGAGCGGGACCTATCGCCTTGCACTAAACTGAAGAAGGTAAACAGGAAATATTGCGGATATTGTCGTCGTCATAAATGAGGTATGCCCAGCAGATAGCAATATAACAGTAATGAGCTTTGTGGAGAACGGTGCAGCAAATGACGCCTAACATAGAACTGTAATTAAGACCGATATCCCACTGGCAACAAAATTTCGTCTTTCAATGTTGTAAATTGTCATCGTCTTCAGTCTTTGTCGATCCACTGCTGGATTAACGCATCTCCAAGATTTTGCCATCCTCCGATTTCATCCATTATGATCTAACGAACTTTTTCAGCTCATCCTTCCATCGATCAACAGGTTTTCCTATGGGTCGTTTACTGTCTTGTAACCCAGTCAAATGTCTCTTTGGTCGAGCAAAGGTTGATTTTTCCTGCAATGTGTCCTGCCCACAGCCATCGCAACTTCTTCATTCGGACAATGATAATGAAACCAAGCACAACTGTTCCTGCTCTTATTCATTCATTTGACTTTCTATCTTTACTTGTTATTCCCATCCCACTTTACCACTTTCCATTCTGCGTTGCATAATCTGCAGTTAGGAGTTCGCACTGGGAGCACTACAGAACGAATAATTTCCGTTTCAAGCATAAAGGCATTTTACCGGTCAGGGATATTTTCAACCTTCCAACAGTACTGCAATATGTTTCCGAAGACAAAGTATTTTGCTCGTGCGGTGGAGACCAAACGGAAAATGAAAATGCATCAAAACGGCATCATACAACGCAAGCAAGCAAGTTGGTCAATCGGTATTGAATCAGAACCGACATTTCGGGTCGTCCGTCGGGAACCTTCTTCAGGGTGGTACGGGCTGATTTCCGCAGTTGGTTTTCTGTCCCGCAGATGCTGTGATGTTTAGAGCCTAAGGTGTGCTTCTGGCCTATGTTCCTGGTTAAGTAGTTTTTCGGTAACTGATTTGAGACGGTTTGTCTAATCCGTGCCGAGTTCGCATCCTTCTTTCTGGTTGACATTTTCGCAACGGGGACCTGAACCCGTGCAGAAGTTGACCTTTACGAACCCCGACTTGTTCCCATAGTTTGTTAAAAGATATGTTGACGATATTTTTGGCATCTGTTGTAGTGGAAACGAAAATAAGTGCTAAACCTTCTCATTAACTTCCTCAAAATATCGAGCATTAAAAAAATGACTCATATTTATCCTTCCTTGATATCTCAACAATTAACTCTGGTAACTGCCATAAAACTAACGTTCATCCAAACCTACTAACACTAATAAATACGTAAGCCTTAACCCAAACAATCATTTAAATAACAAAAGATCTACAATGATAGCTTTAACTGACAGAGGTCTTAAAATCTGTAGTAATGAATTTATTAAAGAAGAAATCAAATATATAAAGGCAACCTGGTGTGAAAAAAACTAATTATCCTGCTAATAATACCGTAAATCGTAGAATTTGTCATCCTAAATCTACCGGTAATAATGACAATCTAAGGACTAACATTTCGACTAACGATCTTACTTAATTCTATCGTATCATAAAAGTTGTAGTGAAAAATCAATAAGAACTACTTATCATTAAATACAATGTCAATGATATATATCAAATCTCCAATAAACTTAACACTTTGTTGACTAATTTTGATAATAACAACTATAGGCTGAATGCACAAATTACCTTGCGACTATGGGAAATATTATATAGGAGAAACCGGAAATGCGGTCACTCAAAATCCATCCACCTGCCAAACTGAAGAAGACGGATGAACGCGAACGACGTGTGGCAACAAAGAATTGAGGAAGAAAACAACCCTCTTCCAATAAAGTCAAAGAACAACGTGAAAAGGCCTCGGGAATCGTATCAGCAGAGAAAGGTCACATCCCCCACTGGTTACATTACGCGGGTATCGTTAAAGAAAGAAACTGACTGAGCAGATGAATCAGAGAAGCCTTAATTATCCACGTTAAAATATCAATCACGAGAAAGGACACGAACTCTGCATGGATTTGTAAGCTTATTACTGAAAAACTGCTTATCCAGCAGCATGGATTAAATGCATACCTTTGGCTTCAAGCGTCATAACAACAGCGGACCACAGAACTAACTGCGGAAATCAACCCTGACCATCCTGAAGAACACCGTGCCGAGCCGAAATGTCTGTAATGGTCAATCACCCAATTAAAACTCCGTTTTTACACATTTCCAGTTTTCTGCATGCTATGCTCATACTTCTGATGATTTCGCACAGTTCGTTCTTCGCTGCAGAGCTGCGCTGTCCCAGACAGATTTAGGTTTGCACCTATTCAAGCTCAGATCCACTGACTTCAACTGCGCAGATACCTGTTCGTAAACGTCTGTGCAAAAACGATGGTTTCGGTAACTGCAGATAGTGTGCATAACAGTCATCAGCGCTTTTGCGTTATGTCAAAACCTGTCACAGAGAGAGGGAGAGTGTGGTATATCTTACGCGAGTCTGAACAGTCAGGCAGCGAAAGTGAAACAAAGCTGGTACTTGATGCAGATGCTACCGCAGCTAGGCAGCGAACTTCATCTGTCTAGAGAAAGTATAGGCTTGTAAAATTTAACGAGTCGGTTGTGTAAACGCGGTTTCATCGTCCCTCCATGAGGTGTGCATCAACCGGTCACCACAGGAAAGCATAACACCAACCGTGATGAAAGTCGGGGTATCAGAACAATCCATCAATCACTGATTATCTGTCACCGTGGACTATCGACAACCGGACCCAAACCAAGTTTCGAGACACAAAACATGCAACGAATTCACCCACACCTTCGTTACGACGTACACAACCGGTCGGTGGATGACCGCAAAAATAACTCGACTCTGCTATCAGCCTCTCACCTCATCGTCGTCGCCTTCGGCGTTTTCGTAATCGGCCGTATCCGGCATGTACTCCCATTCCTCGTAGCCGTGCCGTGCCCACGTCCACATGTCCACGGGGTTGATCACCTAAACAACGAAAAATGTGGCGACGAGAAAAAACAATTAAGAAAAACGAACGCTACAACCGAACTTCACATCAGGAAGCAAAAAAGCTGAATCGCATCCGTCTCGCAGGGTGGCAGGGGCGGAGCACAACGGTGAAGATACAGCAACGACAACGAATAACGTGATGTAACGCGACGCGGTACAAACGTAGGCTCACCGACGCACTGAGTGGCGAAAGTGAACGATGCGACATGCCGCATATGGCAGAGTTCGTAAGGAAAGAAGCTGTCGTCGAATGTGTACTAGAAACAGGGAAGATCGGCGAAAACGAATGAACAGTCATCCCTTTCCCATCGGAGAGCCGGACATTGAGACTGACACGTAAAGTGCGTAAACAAAAGCCGCCACCAGTGGCACGCAGAGCAAAACAGGTCGACGACGGCGAGGCTGGCTACGTTTTTCTGTACAGACAACAGGCAACCATTGCTTAACGTCGCTTCGCCGTGAAACGCAGATTACGTTAGATCTGATTCTTGCTTAACACTCAGCGATATGCATAAGTTTCGTCAAGTTCGTGACAAGTTCAGCTGGCCACAGCTGAGAGGAACTGAGCAGGGAGCAACTCGTTCAAGAGAAGAGCAAGGAAGA